CAAGGAATACTAAACAATGCATGTGTGTATAAATAGACTCGTCTATTCTCTAAATCCTCACAATCAACACTCATCTTCTTCGAACAAACACTCTCAGCCTTCCTCAAAATGTCATACCAGAGACTCAATCTCGACCTCTCCTTAGCTCCTCCTACACAAAACGATCCCACAACCCAATTAAGGAATGATTTCATGAGTAATCTTGAAACATTCCTACTTAATGGTCATAGAAGGGAATCTCTCTACTCAGAAAAACAGAGAGTCCTAAACTGGAGAGCATGGAGACTCGCTCCAATTAACATACTCCTGATGGCTCCACAGACCATCAAAACTGAGGAAGAGTTTGCACTTAGCTGGCTCCAGACACACTCTATTGGTGACGCCCTCTCTGAGGACCTCATCAATAGAGTCTTCGAAGAAAAGCTGGCTAAAATCAATGCTGTGAAGAAAAGAAGACTCTTCCATGGAGAATCATCTGACAGGCAGCTTCAAGAGTAGAAGGTTGATGCTACCAAAAGAGGGGGAAAGAGAGTGTTAATAATTAGAACTCTTCTTTTGGCATCATCACAAAAGGGGGAAATTGTTAGACCCCAGTTGATTGGTTGATAAACTGTTTTTGATGATGCCAAAAGCTTTTGTTATCCCCCCTCTATTGTAGTATTATTATAGGAGTCTTTGTTATCCTCTGTTGTAGCATCTTGCAGTTGTCGAGTACTAAGAAAATTATCTAGATGTGTCGTGCTCCTTTTATATAGTTAACAAATAAATATGACTGGAAAACCATAAAATGCAATAAGGCAATATTGTATTGCCTTAAAAAGATATCGTATAAATCCAACCAGTTAAATTTATTTGTTACACACAATAACATCTCGTACAAATAAACTATTTATTTTAACTGGAAAACAAAATGCAATAAGGTAATTTTACCTTAATAGGAGTTGATATCCTACCAGTTAAATATTTAGCTTATCATGTTCGAAATACTAGATAAACCATACACTCAGAAGAAGAGTTCTTGATATTCTGTTCACTACAACAAATAACAATGTAAATTCTATATAACAAAAAGAACACACTGGGATTCAAAATGAAATAAGGTAAAGTTGTCTTTATCTTGAAATTGGATATTTAAATCCAACCAGTAAAGTGTTATTTGATATATAGATAAATCAAAGTGAACAAGAATAGTGAACAACTAACTGGAACATAAAATGCAATAAGGTAATAACTTTTACCTTAATAGGATTTGTTATCCTACCAGTTAAGTTGTCCACAATACCTGCTAAACTTCACAAGTACTTAAAAGTGACAAGACTTCCAATGTACAAACTATGTATCAGATTAAACATACTGGAACGATAAAATGCAATAAGGTGAAAATTATTTACCTTACATGGATATTTAGATCCAACCAGTATAGCTTTAATTTGGTACATAAGTTTAATTATGTCACTCAAAGAAAGAAAGTGATTAGTAAAATAAGTGACAAATTTTACTGTGAAATTTGTACCAAATAAATTGTACTGGAAAGAACAAAATGCAATAAGGTAATCTTATTACCTTAATAGGATATTTCAAAGATCCTACCAGTACAAAATTTATTGTATACAAAATATTCTAAGTCACACATTTTACTACTTCACTACTTAAGCAGGTTCACGCACTCAGCTTCACAAGTATAGTTGCAAGACAAATACACGCAGAATGCAAGAGCAGAGAAGACATCAGAATAGGTGAAAAGAGAAAGAGTTTCAGAATAGGCATGCAGCGATAAGAAGGCCTAAGGTATGGGTGTTATCTTCGTACAAAGCAAGTGGCCTTCAAAAGACAAATTCTTATCCTGCTCCAACACAAGAAGACGCAAGTACAATACTTTGGACGTCTAGGATTAAATCCTCTTAACCAACGGAGGAGATTAATCTACTGGAGATGCCTATAAAAATAGGCAGAAGCATGAGATCAAAAGCAAGTCATTGAGTTCAAAGCAAGTGGTTCAGTCATTACACTACGAATATCCAGCAAAAGGAAAAAAGTGCTTGAACACTCTGCTTTGACTCATGCTTCACTAAGCTCTTAGACTAGATCATTCATTGTAACATTTATAGAGCTTAGGTTTTAGTTGGCGGTTAGACACTTCGTGAATCAATTCATGTTGTTGTAAACACTTAGGAGAACAGTTGTTCGGATCCTAAAGTGTGGTTAGATAGATAGAGTACCTTTTGATCCCCACTGGATCAATTGAGAAAAGTCTAAGGACTGAGTAACTTTGAGTGGTGTTATACTCATCGTGAAAAACCTTCAATCTAGGCCAGAGTTGTCAAGGCTAGATTGGCACTAATTGTATTGGGCTGAATACTTTAGTGGAAATCCATCTGAAATAGGGTGGGACTGGATGTAGGAGGATTACACCACCTCTGAACCAGGATATATCGTGTGTTGATTTACTTTCATACATGCAGAGCACACACCAAACACATCTCACTAAAGGATTGTAGTTTGCCAGCAGCATCCTAAGCAGTAGTCTTCATCGACTGTACTGCTTAGCCTACTGCTTAATAACTCACTCTCCTTGAGAGTGTTTTCCACTAGAAGTTATCTTACACTCAGAAGGTGCCTCAGCAGTACCCTGGTCTTCACCCTCCTGCTGAGCCCACTGCCCATCCATATGTGTCTTTCCGAACGCCATAACAAGCCAGAACAAAAAGCCATCCAAGAGTCATCCTGTTCTTAACAGTTGCCTCAGCAGTAACCTGCCCACCAGCCGACTGCCAACTCAGCAGTTGCCTGCCAGTCAGCAAACTGCCTGTGCAGCAGTAGACTAAGCAGTTACCTGCTAACCAGTCTACTGCCAAGCCTACTTCCTCTTGTAACCAGTCTAAACATCATCTAAACTAGAAAGTTATCTCACACTAAGTATAAAGAGGTTAAAGACTTCCGCTGTGCATCTATTAATCTCCTAAAAGATTATAGATCAACTCATCTAGAGGGAAAACTTCATAAAGATGAAAAAGATTTAAAAGTCTATTCACCCCCCACCCCCCTCTAGACTTTTACCTCTATCCGGGACCATCACTTTCAGTGTAGCAGTCAGCGCTTTGATCCTACAAGTGGTATCAAAGCCTAGGTCACGTGTTTAAATCTCAGGTAAGTACCCGCGGTAAGTGGGGGAGGCATCTTGTGCATCCAAAGTGGTGGCAGATGTTGGAGGCAATTATTGGGCTTCAGTCAGCATCTTTCTAAATCGGCATGTGGTGCTACACCTGATCTATAAGGGGGGGAAATGTGTGATACACTATCAACAATTGCTTTTAGTGTAACATTAACGATTCGATCCTACATTTATTCATGTTTATAATGACAAGTCTAGATACATGGGTGTTAGACATAGCATGATTACAAAGTCAATCATGAATGGTGTGATTTTGGTGGAGTTTGTAAAATCACAATACAATTTGGCGGACCACAAACTTGACTAAAAGTTTGGCCTAAAACTTAGTGTACTAGTCCGTGATAGCGATGAGATTAAAGTCCATTTAAATCCTGAATGGCGAGACACCTCATTCATCTCTAATAGAACGTTAGAGGTTGAGTTCAATATGGAAAGCTCACACTTATGAATTGGAACACACCGTCGAAATCATCTCAAGATGTATGTTCGGGCCTCTAGTGTAAAAGCATGAATTTATTTCATAATAACTCCTTTGATAAAATATAAGGAGGTACATGAGTAAATGAATTACATATATGATCGTGAAGTGTAGCCACACTTCAAAAGGCTTGGGACTTGGCATTTATATGGTCACAAACGGGATTAGGGCACACGACTCTCTAATTGTGTCAACTATATTGTATTCTAGTTTAGTAAAGAAGCTTGTATGTATTTTATCTTCAGATATTGAAATGGGCTGATGAGTTCAATCGTTGAGACACCCCGATTTTAAAATATTTGGAATGCGTAAAATTCTAAGATGGAAATTCAGGTGTAAAATACACTAAAATGGTGAGGATTAATTGTTGGTGATTTTAGTTAGTATCACCGGCTATTTTATGTAATTGAAAATAACATGAACACTAATGTGGATTGAAATTATGATATAGTATAAGTTAGTATGTGCCTATGTGGTAACTATTACATTTGTATATAAAAACAAGTTTTATTCCAAAGTGTCTACAATAATAGAACTCGCACTGGAACTCTTAGTAGATTAGTTCTGTGATTCTAGATCAAAGTCTAAGCGGCTGAGACGGTTACATGCAGTTTTCCAGAAACTGCTACAGTTGTTACCTAAATTATTTTTAACTGCTTGCAACACGTCATATAGATAATTATCTCCATATTTTGTGTAGAGGGTGAGACAGAACGTATCTTCATCATTTTGGTATCCAAATCAAAAGAAAGCGATTCATACTCACTAGTTTATGCTCTTGAATTTGTGCATACGTTCTTGAGCGTTTTTAAGAATAATGAATTTCTTGTAATTCATATATATGGGAGAAATAATTCGAAAAGTAAACTTACACAACTCTTTAGCATTTCAACATCTCAACATAGTCCAGCATAAAAATATAAAAATGCGTTTCATTTGGTACATTATCCAAAAAACTTAAATATGAACGGATACCTATCCGATCTTAAAAATAATTAGACTTGTATGCAAACTTATATGATTGGCTTCAAATTTAATAAGAAGTAGCATTTCAACTTTGAACTATCTCCAATGCAATAATGCATGCTATATTAAAGTAATAAAAATATAATTTTACTATACCGCACTAAAAAACTGTTAGTATAAAAGGCTTTCTTTATTTTTTGTATAGAATTACTTCTCTACAATACACACACGCGCACTCGCACACACACACACACACACACATATATGTCATTTTTTATTGTGTGTGTGTGTGTATCATAATATCCAGTTTTAAACATTGTGTTTGAAATTAGAGAAGAATCGCTAAAAATATAGAGATGTGTGAAATTTGAAGTAGAAACTTACCGCTGCAACATCTGACCAAATTCCAGTGGGAAAATTTTGTCCGACTCACCCCAAACGAGCAGCGCTTCCTACACAAACACACAAATGACAAAATACGTTAGTTGTTGTGAATTGTGATGTACTCTGTATATTCTTTTTTATACTATCTTCTCATTCTTTTTAGTTGCAACTGAAATTTTTTACACTAACCATATTATCTACTTTGATTGCATTATATTTACTTATGTATAATTTTTTTCCTGAAATTGTTAAATTTGTTTCACTACAAACTTTCATATTCTGATTTTTAAACTTTTTTACTAATGGAAGATAAAAAATAATGACCGTCAAAGTTCTGCGTTAACAAACATTTAAATAGGAATATTTCAACTAAAAAGAATAGATAACTATACTATACTCCATAATATACAACACAATCACATGCCACCTAATAAGTATTCCGTATTAAGTAACACATGCCAGTTAAAAAGTTGAAAAAATTATTTGTTGTGCGCGAAATTTATACACGTTTCACACGCATAGTACATAATTATCTGTGCACATAGATCATTTGTACACTCTAATTACATGTGTACACAGGCTCTTCATTCATGCAACTTTGTCTGTGTATACAATAATTACTTAAAAATATATGTGAAATAATTCGTATCTTTATATAATATAAAGTAGCAGTCAGGGATGGATTTAGGGGGGGGGGGGCGACCGCCCCCCTTGGACTTTCAATTTTTTTTACCATATATGTAATATTTTCATAAAACTTTCATAATTTAATTATATTCGCCCCCCTTAGCTTTTAATTTTCAAAAATAGTTGGAGTATATAGTCTTACATAATGTAATATTAATTGGAGATTTAAAAGAAACATCTAAAATAATTTACATAACTTAAACAAATAAACAATAGAGTAACTCGTTATTTAAGATTTAGGATACTTATTATATAATAATTCCTAGTTTTGTAATGTTTAATTATCTTTATTAGATAACAAGTACAGGATTTTGTAAAACATATATCAAACAATATTAAATACCAGACACACTAATTACACAATTTTTAGATTACATAATTCATTTACTTCTTGCTTTCTAAAAATAATTTACTGCATGGATGATAAACTTTAAATTATTATAGAATTAATAAAAATATTAAAATATAATATGCACCATATATGTGTGTGTGTGTGGTGCATATTATTCTAAAAATAACAATCTCATACATACTAGTATACTACTATTGTAATATTAAGAAAACTTCTCATGAGTCATGACTCACGAACACCCTCCTTGGTGGACAAAAATTACAATTCAATAACCGATTCATGAGGTTAAACAATGTAGAAGTTATTAAAAATGTATTGGTTGATGTCTTTGTCATCGTCTAAACTTAGAATGTAATAGATTTAAATGCCGGTTCGGGATGTGCAAGTATTAATGTCATTTTTTTGAATAAAAATAGCCGCATAGCCCTACAGTAGCAAAAAAAATTCACCCCGCTACACTAGGGGAAAAAATTTCACCCCGCTACACTAACAAAAAAAATTCACCCCCTGCACTAACGAAAAATTTCGCCCCCCTTGACTCAAAATCCTGGATCCGTCCCTGGTAGCAGTGTTGCTACAACTATTGGAGGGAAAATTCTCGCTCATTTTAAGGGTATAATTGGAAACACCTTTGCCATTTGAAAAGAAAACCACATGTATGGTTATTAAAGTTGTAATACGTATTTAGAAAGAAAGATATTTTTAATTTCAAAGATATTAAAGTTGTGATATCAATGATTATTAAATTGGAAATAAATGCATTAGCCACACGTTTACCATATATGGTAAAATGGAAGATACTCACGGTCTTACCAATGTTGTACATGGATGCAGTTATGATTTTTCCTTCAATAACTATGAATGATTCCTTCAATAACTATAAAAGTATCATCGATGTAACAAAATTAGAACAAATAATTTGATATAAATACGTTTTCCCATGCATATAGTAAAGCTATCATTATTATATGGTCCTAACATTAGCTATAAACATATATTAATAATAATAACAATATAACAACAACAACAATAATAATAGTAATAATAGAAGTAATAATAGTAATTATAATAGTAATCATCATAGTAATCATAATAGTAATCATACTTTTTATATTATACGTAAAGAGTAATAATGTTATTACACTTTTCGGAGGCAAAATTCCTACCCATTTTAATACTCTTTCTGTCCCTCAAAACTTTGTGAAGTTTTGACCGACACGAGAACTAATGAAATAAAAACTATACTATGTATATCTTATTGAAGTTGGTGTAGAGGAGAGAGATATGATAGAAACCACAAATTGATTGCTTAACAAGAGAAATTAAAGTGACAAATTTGTAAATTACGATGTCGCGTAAAAGTGTAATTTTGACCGCACATTATTACTGTACACATATGTACATATATTGTAATAAGTAGAAGTTGTATTGATTGGCTAATTGCTACATGCAATAACAAATTCAAAAAATATAACTTAGTAATTATTAGTGAATATAATTGTATTCAGATTTACTACATCGTAGTAATTACATGTAAGTTACTTCGATATAAACTTTGAACACAATTATAATCACTAAGGATATTATGTTTCTTTCAGACTATTTTCATTCCCAAACCAGACCAGATCAGACCAGACTTCAGTAGTTATAAAATACACAGAGACCAAACATTTACCAGACCAGACCCGTTCAGACCAGACCAACAAATTTCAGTCCAAAAGAAAACATCATAATAGTTACTAAGTAATATTTTTGTCAATGATTTTTTATTAGTAATATCCATGAAAAAACCCTAACAAATAATTGTAGTATATATATGAGTAATCCGACCATTTTTATTGTATTCGTACATATATAAGGTAAGGTGAAAATTTGATATCATAAAATACACTACATATGTATCTATTCTAATTCAAAAAACATTAATTTTGTAGTACTGATATTTATTAAATTCAAGAACGAACTTGGAGACTTGAAAAGCATTGACTTTTTATTTAGGCTTGGTTTTCGTATCTTCACTTTATCAAAGAAAACATTAATTAAGAACATATATGAGACCTGAATATAATTGTATTCCATAAACACATGTTATCAAAAATATTTTTTTCCATATGTAATCAACTTTTAGTTTCAAGTTTACACAAATACCTATATTTTAATTCTAGGTTCAATAGTTTGAAGTGACCGTGCTTAATTGACTTCATTTCTACCAGCTTTATTTTAACTTGATGCTTATAACTACAGTGAAATTAGTATTTATAATAATTAGTTTAATTGATAAAAGTATTATATTCAAGTGAATGTATATTACAGCCCCTTTTAATTAGAACTTAAAGTGTAACTCATTGTTTATTTTTTGTTACCACTAATACTTTCAAGTAAAAGTTAATATTAAAATAGTTCTCCTTGCGAAACCAATTTCTTTAATTAGCCCGATTTGATATCTTTCAAGTTTGAAAATGTAATCGTTATCTACAATGAAATGTCTATGTATTAAGATTAAGAAAGTTGATGTGATTTATCTGCAATAAAAAAGTGCGGAAAACTTTTATCTACGAAACTTTCGAAGTAAATATTACAATGCCAATCAAGTACGGTTTGATAATCAGAGGAGGTCACATGTTTTAACCTGATCCCATATCAAGGTTGTTGGTCTTAATAGAACGAATACTATAATAGGTTAGAAAGTTTGTTAAAAAAAAGTAAATATTACAACTATCAACGAAAGTATTTTTTTAATAAATTTTTTCCTAAAATATTACTAATAAAAAAGTCATGGATAAAAAATGTGACTTAATAACTATTAGTAGCTACTACGATGTAAACTTTGAACACAATTATAGTCACTTATAGTTACTAAGTTACATTTTTGCCCATCACTTTTTCAGGAGTAATATTTATGTAATTTTTTCACTTTTAATACTTGAAAAACTATACTACGTATTTTACTATGAAATTAGATCTAGCGCCTCATTTCAAGCATCTCTTGAAACTGGCGCCTCATTATTCAAAGTAATTAAATTGATTGGAGTTCCTATATATTATGCTAATGAGAAACATTGATCAATCTTTTGGAGTATGTACTGAGACTTTCATTATTGTTTTTTGGATGAGTAAAATGTTATAGAGGCGAAAGTTATATTTTGAAAGAATATCGGGCAAAAAGTTTTAATCCCAAGGTTTCTTTGGACATGTAAGATTGTAAAAGTTCAATCAAGTTTCAATGTACAGTAGGTCACTCCGAGTCATCGTTTCAGTTCTCATGATGGAGAACAAAAACTATGGGTAATCTTTGCATAAAATGGACATATATCTTACAAAATATGTTTTTTTACACAGAGACTAATGTAATTTTCCATGCCCAGGGTCACCTCCATAAGAAAATAGAAAATTCTAATATGCAATCATGGGAGTTGTGTAGTGATGACCACTAATGGTGTAATCTATAACGAATATAATTTTCACAAAACTTATGATAATATTTGTGATTTACCACTAAAAAGAGATTGTCCAATTTTATACTCCCTCCGTTCTGGAAAGGTTCGCCAACTTTGACTTTCACGTAGATTAATAAAGTAAAAATTGTGTGGTTGAAATTTGTGTAAAGGAGAGAGAATTAACTTTAGCTACATATTTCTTACTTTAAATGGAAATGGCAAATCTTTTTGGGACATCCAAAAAAGGAATTTTGGCAAACCTTTTCGAGATGAAGAGAGTACAACATAATGTAGGGATGATTAAAGAAATAAACACTCCACATTGTACTATCATGACGTTTTCATTGTCTTACAATTTATTCTTACAACACGTATTTTTATTAACTTTACTTACAAGTCTTCATATGACCTACTTATTCGTTTCGCGTAAACCAACATTATACAATTAAAGTTATACCAGTAACATTTTACGATACCATTTTTCCTTTACTCTAGATATTCCATGTGCATCGCAAGAGTACATTGTCTAGTAAAAAGTTTGGTGAGTGCAAGTTGCGCGTCATTCAAAGGCCTAGGCGAATACAAAAAAAAA